CTTAAGGTTTGGGACAGGAAAGCAGAAGTCTTTGATCATTTTCAACCCTACATTTCAAAAGATTTCTTTGACACTGAAGACTGGAATAATGGCTGCTGAAAATTCATCTTTGCATTACCGGAATAAATTATATTTTAAAATATATTTAACTAAAAAAACAGTTAAATTAAATTGTAATAATATTTCATATTATGTATTACTGTTTTACTGTATTTTGATCAAAGAAATGGAGCCTTGGTAAGCATAAAATACTTCTTTAAAAAAAAATATATATATGTATATAAAAAATATAATTATTGTATCTTTGACTGGTAGTGAATCTGGATCAACTTCCTGTTTCAACAGGAAACACAACATCACATGAAGAAAATTGTGTGCCATACATTTCTAAGGATGATTTCATGGCAGAACTTGGTGTATTTTTTAAATACATCAAACTTCGTGTTTGACTAGAAAAAGAAACTGTTTGGAATAGCATACTATCATACTACTCTCACGATTTCTGCAGTATACAGTATGCAGAGGAAATATATTAGATTTTTCCAAAGTGACTTACAAATGAGAAATACAACAAAGTGACTCATGCTAAGATGACTATAACAGCGCACAGTGTGTGGAATTATGTATCCCACAATGCAACACACTCAACTTGAAATTACTAGTTCGTTCATTGAGATGAATGAGACAACAAATTTTAACATATCTCTCTTGACTTACTTGAATGGACTGATATTATTTTCAGCATAATGCAAAAAAAAAAAAATCTTATTCTCATTCAAGGTAAAAAAAAAAAATATATTGAAATTAATTTATTGGTAAAAAAAAACACTTAAATAATTTTCTTTTATAAACTTATTTAAAAAAATATATATTTTTTTTATTTTTACTTCAAAATCTGCTTATGCTTTGGATAAAAGCAACCTTTATTATCATTATTATTATTAAGATTTTAATTCTTTTACATTATTTTCTTTACAACTTAGCACCTTTTCCCCCAGCTAATTCTTAATGCCATAATGCAAAAATCTCATTCTTATTGCTTTAAGGTAAAAATAATTCTATATTATATGATTTTTTTTTTTTAAGCTTAAACCATTTATTTTTAATAATTACTATTACAGTTTATTTAAAACAGTATTGTTTTTTTAATGCAGTAGGCTGTATGCAGTGTATACTGCACAGTAAGCAGTATGCAAGTATTCCATTCTGAACGAAGCCCATGTTGAACTGTCATCTCTGAAAAATGTTAATGATATTTAAAATAGGCCGCTTTTTTAAATAATGGAGGGATTTTATTTAATCTGGAAATTAGAGAATTGTGTTTTTTTTTTTTTTATGTTTAAGCTGTTTTTGGGTTGTGCATCAGCAGACAGCGATATCTCCTAGTACAGTTAAAATTATATTTATAAACGTTTCATTGACGTCTGCCCGATTATAAAAATATGTTGAAATGATACATAAATGATGTCACTCTGACAACACTAAAGCATTCTGTTGGCAGACCCAAATTTTATATTTGGGCTGGTTACGTTTGCAACGTATTTTTAAGTGGTGGCCTCATGACACAGGATGTCATCGCTGCTGTTTATTGGTGACTAGAAACTGAACTGAAACTAGAAACTGAAGGCAAATTACCAGGAGAAAGTGAGCTAAATATGATACACACAATTTTATATATCAAACTTATGCTGAAACATATTCCTAGTTCAAATTTGATTATCATTAAAAAGTCTTGTTTGCTCAATCACAAAATAACCACAAGAACATAATTTAAAATAGTTTTCTTTTTTCATATTATGTTTTATAAGTGACATTTTACTGGCATATACATTTTGTGTCAGAGAGCTCTGTAGTTGCACACAAAATAATCAAGTTTTCGCTTTCAATGTAACTTCTATTGTGCTTTATTTATTTACTGAATAGTGTTGACTATTAATGATATACAGTATGTATCTGTTTTTATTTAACCTAATAATAATTGTGCTTTCATTTAATCCTTTTAATTCTCTTCAATTTTGTATTTTTTTTTTTTTACATTGATTTGAAAGTATCCTCTTATTCTACTAGCACTTATGTTTATTATTTGATTTGTATTTTGTGTTTTATCCTTAACTCAAGAGTGAGTTTGTCAGCGTGAATTGTCAGGATGGTTATTTGTCATTTGTTCTGTAATGTCGTCAGCACAATATGATGTGTTTAAAAGATGATGGTTTGGTGTGTGTGTGTGTGTGTGTGCACCTGTTTTTCTATTCTGGTGGGGACTTAAACCTGAATACACACAGACTCATGGGGACTCGTGTCACGGTGGGGACCTAAATTGAGGTCCCCACGGGTAAACAAGCTAATAAATCACACAGAATTAAGTTTTTTGAAAATCTAAAAATGCAGAAAGTTTCCTGTGAGGGGTAGGTTTAGGGGTAGGGTTGGTGTAGGGCAATAGAATATACGGTCTGTACAGTAGAAAAACCATTACGCCTATGGAGAGTCCCCACAAGGATAGCAAACCAGACATGTGTGTGTGTGTGTGTGTGTGTGTGTGTGAGAGAACTTGCCCTGTTTGCACAATGAAATCAGAGCAGGACCTCACAGATTATCAGAATATTTAGATAGCACTCAAACAGATGGTTAACATGTTAGCTGTTCATCTCTGTTGATCTTAGAGCACTTCATCATGTGTCGTTCTGAGCTTGTCTCGTGAATGTTGCTGGGGTTCTTGGCTTTGGTGCAAAGATGGCTGTTTATACTGTTTTATCACCGTGTGATGTGGAGTGCAGAGTAGATGAAATCACAATAAACTTTCATCCAGAACACAGTGTGTGAGTCAGATAAATCTGAGGCTGCAGTAGCCAGTAGGCCGAGTGATGAATGAAGCCGCTTACTACACTCGTAGCGGTGGCTTTATTTTTATAATCTCTCTAAGGGGAATGTATTTTGGTGATAATCCATTGTCGGTGGCATTTTTAGAGCCAGTTTGGCTTTTCTTCCACTGGCACTATAAGAAATGATGCCTTTACAGACAGGTTGGGACTTGAGCTGTCCTCTGTGCATTGGATATCCATCCATCCATTCTCCAAAACACTCTGTATACAGTATATACATCTATATATATCAAAATATATGTATATATAGTAGATAGACAGATATATAAATATAAATGATATATAAATATGCATGCATCCATTCCCCAGGCAATTAATCAAAATATATAAATGATATAAATATGATTAATTTCATATTCATTGTTATGTATTCATATATATATATATATGTATATATATATTCTGATAAGTTGTGAATGGATGTATATTTTAAATATATATTTTGACAACCTTTCTGTTCATTTGTAGTTATTGGATACAATCATTAAAAGGGCTGTCAAATTGATTAATCAATGAATCGCATCCAAAAAAAAAATTTGTGTCTGCATAATATATGTGTGTGTACTGTGTATATTTATACGCATATGTCCTGAAAAAAAAAACATTAAAAATATTTGTCAAAATTTTAGTGACTGTTGGAGCTCTATATCTAATATTTGTAATAAATATTTCTTACAGTATGGTACCTAATAAAACCTTTCCATTTGGATCACCTATCAAATCTGTTGCTCCTGAATGTGCATGTAATCTAAATACTAATTCTCAACAAATAAAGCCAAATATTATGCAATATGCTTACCAGGATCTTTAACTCCTAAGTAAATATAAGCATGTGGGTAAACACAGCCATTACACATTCTAATAACACACAGTATTATCATCACAGAACATGATTAAACGCTGTAGACTCTGGTGCTGCTGTGTGTGGATGTTTCAGCGGTGTGACATTGTGAAAGGACTCACAGTGGGTTCCTGGCGTTGACACACATCTGCCAGGTGAAGGCCTGTGACAGACGCTCTCCCTGCAATGCTGTGACCTCTGCAAGGGCCGCCCAATGATAGTGGCACCCAGGAGACCTCACGCTTGTAACCTGGAGTGATAATCTATGAAGCGCTAAAAAAAAGCTGCATCGGATCAAGGTCAAGACACAGTGAGGAGCCGGAGTTGCTTGTTGGTCTCACAAGTGCTCCTGTTCCTGAGAGAGTACAAACTGCAAAACAGCCATGACCCACGAAAATATTCTGTATTATTACATCATATAAAATACATTGCGCCTGTTATGTACAATGCTACCAGTGGAATCCACACGAATTCACCAAGCTGCTCCCTCTAATGGAAAAATGCCAATAGTGTAGTGATTTATGAAGCATAGCGCACTCAGAAGTCGCTTTCAAACCAAGCAGCTTTCTGTTGCTCAACGCGACAAATTTGCATTGCTCATTTGAACTATTGCGAAATGGGTTTGGGAAAATCTTTTGTCCGCAAGTGAAATTCCCGATTTCATGGATTCTTAAAGGGGTCATA